TTTTTTTTTTTCTCCTTTTTTCTTTTTACGAGAAGCAAACAAATAAAGGACTTTTCGAAGTCAAGCCATGACAATGATTTCGGTTGAATATCGTTTTCATAAAATTTTATTTTATATATATCCTGAATGAGTCTGTCAATTTCAATTGGAAATTTAGTGATAGATCGCTAGTTTCACTTCTATTTTATCCTGAATAAAAGGGACAAGAGACCTAACCCTGGACTAGTTCTTGGTTCCACAAGTGTGTAATGAAGATTTATTAATTAAATTGGTTGTCCCCTAGATTTGGTTGCTTGCGAGTGGTAAAGCTTGGACAGTAATGAAAATATTCAAAAAGAGAATTTTCATTTTCACATGACACAGAGAATTTGCAAACACAAAATACAATGTAATTGCCGGTGAAAGCTGTCTATTTGGTTCAACAGAAGAACTATATATCATGATTTTTGTATAGGAAATAAACTAATAAGAGAGTAAACAGAATTCAACAAAAACTTAACTAAATAGCTACTTATTAATTTAAAAGTTTTAATTTACAACCAAAGACAAGCTTTAAACCTCTGTAACTGCTTACAACTTACTTTTAATTTTTTTTTTTTAAAGAGTAAACAGAAGAAGTAACACCGACTAGTGTTGAACTAAACATGACCGTAAATGAAATTCTGTCTCGCCGTTTTAGTTTGACGGGAACAAAATGTCATGGAGTAGTTGCTCTGCATCTTGCAAAAGGAGCTGTTCGGAAATGCATCGATCGCGGTTTGTCTTCAAAAATTCTAGCTCATTTCCCTTCGCTTCAACAGCAGTTTCCATTTCCAACCATTCGTCTCTCATACGGCTAGTTTCTGCCCTCTTCTCCGCCACCACCGCCTCCAACAGGTGAATAAGAGTCTCCTCCATCTGTAGACCCATCTCCGACTCCATCCGATGAAGGGTCTCCTGCTCCGCCTCAACCCCGTGGATGGCCAGGGTCTCCTCCATCTGTAGTAGTCTCACCGCCGTCTCCATTGGATGAAGCGTCTGCTCCGCCTCCACCCCGTGGATGGCCAGCGTCTCCTCCATCTGTACACCCATCTCTGACTCAATCCGATGAGGGGTCTCCTCCATTAGTCCTTGCCCTGCCTCAATCCGGTGGAGGGCGAGGGAAGCCTCCACCTCTAGACCCTCCTTCACCTCCATCCGATGAAGGGCCTCTTCCTTCTTCTGGCCTTGCTCCGGTTGCACCGGGTCACGGGCCTCTTCCTTCTTCTGGCCCTGCTCCGGTTGCACCGAGTGAAGAGCCTCTTCCTTCTTCTCGCTCTGCTCCGGTTGCATCCGGTGAAGGGTCTCTTCCTTCTTCCGGCCCTGCCCCGGTTGCTCAGGGTGAAGGGCCTCTTCCATCTCTGCCTCCTTGGGGTGAAGCGCCTCCTTCATCTGTAGACCCTTCTCAGCCTCCTCCATCCCGGTGCTGTGAGATGGTTGCTTCCAAATCGATGTGGTCGGGCGTCTCTGTCATTTATAGAATAAGGCTGCCTTTTGGGGGCGTCCAAATGTTGGGTTTAAAGACCACTTTACCCTCTCAATGTGTCTGCTTGTCCGTTCCGAATCGTGCGTCTACATATGGCCAAAAGAAATGTCGAACGATCGATCACTTGATGTTTAACGAAACCAGAACCTGGTGATTATTTAAGACTTTTTTTAACCTATCTTTAATAGTGTAGTTAATACTTGTTAATTATTAAATTATATAAAAAATGAAAAAAAATTGACATCTAGCTTAGTACAAATGTCATGTATATTAATTTGATTAGTTAATTAATAAGATTAAAATTAAATTTTATTTTTTATATTATTTAATAGTTAAAAAATGTATTAATTCTATTTTTAATTTGTGCTCTTAAAGGCATAACTTAAAAAAATCCACTATTTTGTAGTTTAATCTCAATTTGAAATTTTAGAAAAGTGAGCACACACCTTATAATTATTGATGAGTGTAGATCTTTTAATATTTGAGTAGTTTTTTATCAATAGTTATAAAAATACAATTTACATAAGATAAATTGCCAAATAGTTTGTTTTTGAAATTTTATTAGTGTTTTTCAAAGTTAATTCTTCAATTTTTATGTGCATTTTTTATAAATAATAAAAAAGAAATGTGTTTTACATTTTAAACTGTATTGAATTGTAAAAGATTAATTATTAAATAATTTTTTTTAGTTTAATAATTAATATTTTATAATTTAATATAATTTAAATTATAAAATAATTTTTATATAAATATATATATTTATATATATTAAAAAAATATATTATATTTTATCTTATACTGTAAAATAATTATTATTGATTTGGAGAGGAATGTGCCACGCAGAGCATCCCTCACCTCAATGGTTGTAATTGTGTAATTTACAGTAAATAAGATTGCACAATATTTTTTTGAATATTTATAAATAAGTTTTAAAAAGTGTCATTTATTTAGAGTAATTTAAATGTTAAAAGGTAACTTCCCTTTTTTCTTTTGGAAGTACAATTGTTTTTCTTTTTATGGATCTGTGAGTAAAATTTTCAAACTTAAAGAAAAAAAAAAAATTGTTACAATCGGAACTCCGTATGATTGGTGCATGTACCCTTGCAAGTGTGTGGTAGCAACTAAGTAGTAGCAGGAGTATGCTGTTGCGAAGGTCTACAAGGAGAGAGGCAAATGGAGATCGTGGTAGAGGCACATAGTTTTTCTTTGAGATTTTACAATTTTAAACATGTTCGGTGGTTGTGGTTATGATTATTACTTGTTTTTGTCGAAGTTATCGAAATTTTATTAAAAAAAATTAATTTTGTTTAATTTAATTATAAAAAATAAAAAATAATTAATTTAATAAATGATATTTTTCATTTAATAAATTAAAATAAATTTATAAAATAATATTTTTATATATCATAATTTTTTATTTAAAAATTTAAAAATTTCAGTAAAATTTTAGCAATTTTAACAAAATAAGTGATGGTTATAACAACACGTGTTTTGTAACATTTGGATTAGAATACCTTTTTGTACTTATTATAGTAGTATTTATTTTTGTTAATAAAAAAATAACCAACCTAACTAATGTTTGTTGATTAAAATTTTAGGGTTTGTTTAATGCGATTGTGATCTTTAATTTTTCTTATGTTAGTATGTACAAATTTTACAATTTAAATAAAAAACTTATTTACTTTTATGTACTTTTATAGTATACTATTATAATTATTAAAAAATAAGAATAAAAATAATTATAATACTGTTAAATAAGTTTAAATTTTATTGTCAATTTTAAAACTTTTCTAATTAAACAAATTGTTAGATCTTGAATTTAGTAATAGTAAAATTTGAAAAAATCAAAAACCACAACAATACTAAAAAAGCCTTAATATGGTGTTAATTAGTTTTTTTCTTTGTGATTAAATAAGGTTTTAAGATCAATATAAACAATGAACTTTGTCTACACCAACAAATTTTATCATATGAAAATTTTATGTTATTAATTTTTTTAAAAAAATAAAGTTTTGAGTTAATTCACATGTCATATATGTAAATTAAAATTTAGGAAAAGAATAAAAAAATAACTAAAATTTAAAAATTTAAAAAGTTAAAATAAAAATTTATTTGGTTTAAGGAACAAATAAAAAATTTGTACTAAATGGAGGGTTTAAAATTGAAGATTAGCCTTGAAGAAATGAATTTAGTAAAGGAACCTTGCCATCTTGACCGACTAAAATGGAGGGTTTTAAATTGAAGATTAACCTTGAAGAAATGAATTTAGTAGGGGAAAGGAATCTTGCCATCTTGGCCTACTGCCCACGAGTTCTGGAGCGCTTTCTTTCAGTCCAAAGGTTGAAGGTTGACAGTTGAACTTGGAGTGGACCCCACAATTATTTCCATTATAAATTTATAATAGCTAACAATCCATGTCGATTTTCCACTAGCCTGAATTGAGGATGTGATCAAAGGAAAACTTCTCCCACAATTATGATCTTCATATATATACATACATATATATGTTCATCCACGTTACCTTTTTTTAAATAAATTATTATAGAATTATGTTATTTTAATAAATTTTTATTAAAAAATAAAATATTATAGTTTAAAACATAAATTAGATTATTTATTATTTATTATTTATTTATTATAATATTTTATTGAAACAATGCAATTTTAAAATAATTTTTTTCTTACTTTTTAATAAACAAGACAAATAAATATTAATCTCATGATATGCATATAATTAAAATAACAAATAAATTACTATGTCAAACAAGATATTTTTTGTGAAAATGTGAGCATATGATCTTCAACCTAAAAATGACATTTAATTTAAAATTAATTAACAATAGATAAAATAACTCATATTATATTTAAGTGACATTTTTTTATTATATTTTTAATGTTAAAATTTTTCACTCAATATTTTTCCTTTTTGTCATTTTCTTTATTTCTTTGTCTCTCGTACATGGCACGTGAAGAATGCTATCCCTACATTTTTTTAAAAAAAATCTCATTATAATTAAGGTTTGTCTATCATGAGTCTAAGAAACAATTATTAAATATAAGGGAAATGATATATATATCCTACAAAATTACACATTTCGTTATATACTGATAGTCTCCATTACATAATCTGTTACACATTGACAATTTACTAAAAATGGGCTATTGTTTTGAATATAAAATCAAAATCTACAAAACTCTAAACGAAAACTGATCGTTCAAAATATAGATAAGTGTCTCTTGAACACCTGGACAAAATTTCAATTTAATCCAATGGTGAACTTTTGTAAATTGGACAAAATGACAAAATTGCACACAATACTAAAATTGCAAAAAAACAGACCACCAAAAACAAGCTACTGTTCTAGGCACAAAAACAAAAACCTAAAAGCTCCAAACAAAAAACTGACCATTCAGAATGTAGATTAATGTCTATTGAATGTCAAAACAAAATTTCAGTTCAATCCAACAATGAACTTTTGCAAATCAGAAAAATGACAAAACTATGCATAGTACTAAAATTGCAAAAATTTCCCTTGTTTTTTTTTCATTTCCTGCCGATTGGCTCCACTCATATGCACTCCACTTTTTGCTATATCATCCAAAAAAACATACTTGTTTTATGTGTCTAATAGGCTGCGAAATCATGGGCTAAAACAAGGATGATTTTGTAGAAAATGAACTCTTCCTCAAGATACTAGAAACTTAAGATTTTGATTTGGTGCTTGAATGTATTGTTCGGTCACAATAGCAAGAGGGAGATGAGAAAGGAGAGAGAGAAAGAAAGGGCTGAGTGCGTTTGGAGAGTTACAAGGGTTAAAATAGAAAGAAAAAAAATATTTGATTACCTTAAAAAATAAAAAAATGATAATTAATTTAAAATAAATTCAAAGTAAAAAATGACAATTATTTTGAAGTAAATGAGTAATCCATAGAATTTACAATTAATAGAAGTCAACTTATTTTTCTTGAGAAAATAATTATCTCTTATTTTATATCTTAAAGATATAAGATAGATAAACTATTATAATAAAACATACAAACCATGTTAATACAGAATTTTTATTTTTCTCGTCCTTCTTTCTCGGCTGTAGATATGAAAATGTGATGAGGACAATCTCTTTATTTTTCTCTACTATTTATGTCATTAATAAGGAATGAATTTGATTGAGGTTGAGGAGACAAATCATGGGCGACTGGACCATGTGTTACGCAAACATTCTCTCCACAAAGTTTGCCAAGTATTTCCACTATAACAGCCAACAACCCATGTTAGGACTTCAGTTTTATATTTTTTATTTAAAAATATTAATTTTATTTCATTTTAAATAAAAATGTTAATTTTTAAATTTTTATCTAAATCAATTTTTAGTTTTTTTATTTAAATATATCAATTTTCAATTTTTTTTATTTAAGAAATAAATAGCTTGTTAACTAAAATATTAAAATTCAATAACTTTAAATTAAAAAAATTAAAAATTGACATTTTTAAACATTCTTATTTAGAAACTACAAAGTTAATATCTTTACAAATATATACATAAAGTTGATAGTCGATTAAATCCCTGATTTGATCCCTCAACTTTTATTTTTGAACAAAATATATCCCTCAACTTTAAAAAATATTAAAAATATCCTTAAATTTTAATTTGTGATACCAATTTTATCATTTGTCAGTTAAGTATTGATGTGGCAAAATTCTCTATTAAAAATTTCATATTTTTTAACTTTCAATATTACAAAGAAGCGCCACATGGATTAAAATGCTGATGTGGTAAAATTTATGCTAATGTGGTAATAAGACCCACAGTTAATTACAAAAAAATGAGTTTTATTATATTAATTAAATGATAAAATCAATCAATTAATTAATTAAAGTAAAAAATGGAAGGAAAATGATCGTCTTCGTCCCGTTTCTCCTTTTCTCTATGTTTCCTTCCTTTTCCCCTACCTCTGCAAACCCTCAAATCAAACCTAGATACCAATAATTGGGTCATAAAACAATAAATTATCAAAACACCATCACAAAATAAAAATCAGAAACAAATTCTAAAAAAGTAAAAAAATTTACAAAAATTGAAAATTTCTTGAACGATCATAGGATCCGATTACAAGATCCAAAAATTCTCTAAAAACTCATAAAAACCACAAAAATATTCATATCAAATTCAAACTCACACTAATTGCAACTAACTACTAGAATTTCCAAGAAACAATTTCAACCTTCAATGCTCCTGATTAGAACAACAAAATAGCACAAATCAATACTAGGCCAATTAATTAGGGTATAAACGATAAATACTTGCTTTCTTTCATCAATCATCTTCAATAAATTCAATTGCACACTAAAATCTATTTTGCATACCTATTGTCGAATGGAAAGAAACATGCTTGACAAAGAGAGTGCTTCTTGGATGCAGAAAAGAAAAGCTAGAAGCAACTCCAACACCATCTACATTCAAATCGATTTCCTTAGATTGCAAACCCAAATTCCAGTTGCTACCACCCCAACCATTGCCATTGCTACCACTACCAAATGAACCATATCCATCTTCATTGGAATCATCGAAGCGTTTTATTGAACTTAGATTGGGTTTAGTCTTAGAAGGACCCACACCCGCTTGGGTTCAGTACTTGAATTGAGTTTTCTTGGTTGGGTACTTAGCAAAAAAGGGAAAAACAAAAAGGATGAGAAGAAGGAGGGAGGGGAGAGAAAAGAAGTTTAAGGATTTAGCCACATAATACAATTAAAATTAAAATTTCCACATAATACTCAACATTAATACAAATTGAATTTCTTAATGGAGAATTTAGCCACATCAACACTTAATTGATGAAAGGATTAAATTGATACCAAAAATTGAAGTTTAAGGATACTTTTAGCACTTTTTAAAGTTGAAGGATAGATTTGGTTCAAAAATAAAAGTTGAGAGACCAAATCAGGTATTTTACCTTGATATTCATATTTGCACCTATTCTCTCAATTTCCCCCTTCTCCTAGTATAAATTAAGGATGGGAAGAACGTCACCCCAGAATTATTATCTCCACACACATACATATAATTTGTTTTCAAATACACATATTAATATTTAATAAGATAAATTTTTAAATATTAAATTAAAATTTAATTAAATGAAATGATGCCATTTAGATTGAAATTTTAATTTTTTTAAAAAAAGAAAAAGCGATACACACTTTTCACATATATATATTGATGGAAACTATATAAAATAACAAACAAATTACCATGTCAAACAAGACATCTTTCAACTAGAAGATTGGATTCACTTGTAAAAAAATATTATTCTATAAATTAAATCTAAATTTTAAGTATTGAGACTAATAGTCAAAGAAATTAATTTAATTTTTTAAATACATCAGTTTAATGTAATAGTACACTTTACAATTATTTAAGAAAAGATTAATTTTTGAAGTGTAGAAACACGTAACCGTAAATAAAAAACAAAAATAAAAAGACATTTTTCCTTTTTCACTTTTCTTTCTTTGTCTCCTGAATAAAGGATGTGAAGAATGCCCCCACAGTTATTTTCTCGTCTCATTGTCTACCAGTAAATTTAAAAGCCCAGTCTAATTAACTCCCATAAGAGCCCTCAAACAGTGTTTGCTTGACTGGGTATTGTATCTTTTCATTTACTTTTGCAAAGGGAGTTTACCGTTGATAAAATATTCACGATTTTTGGCCTAACCTCAAGTATGGGGGCTCCCGAGAATGCCTTTTAACAGTATTTTATTGTATGGGTTAAGCTTTATTTCACACAAATTTACAAAAGCCCAGTCAAGTATCTAACTTGTACATATGTTTGGGTACTTTGCATTGGTTAGATGTGGTCCATGACTATTTTCTTGTTTTCTCATCTTTATTGATATTATTTTACGAAAATACTGTAGGTAAGTTGTTCGCTTAAAATTTTTTAGAGAATTTGTCTAAAAGTTTTTTTTAATTATTATTTTAAAAATTAATTATTAGATTGAAATTTTAATTTATATAAATCATATATATTAATTTTTATATTAATTTAACACTTATAATATTTTAATAAATTTTTTTAAAAGTTTTTTTTAATTATTATTTTAAAAATTA